ACCACAAAGACTTTCTGTCCTGACTTTACCCTGCATACTGTGGCTCTCGATACACCACAAAGACTTTCTGTCCTGACTTTACCCTGCATACTGTGGCTCTCGATACACCACAAAGACTTTCTGTCCTGGTCACAGATGCACCAGCAAGACACAAAGACTTTCTGTCCTGGTCACAGATGCACCAGCAAGACACGCTTTTGAACTCTGATGTGTCTCACATTATGTTGCGTGGATGGAAATGTTTTGTGTAGAGCTGTGAATTGCTCTGCTAATTCTTCTTTCACTCTCTACTCTTACTGATGGAATGTGCAGTTGGTGAAGATTGGCCACCAGGTCACACATATATAGGCATGAAACCTCAAACACTATATTGGCCAGTGATTCAGTTTTATTGTCCAACCCCTGTAATGATACATATTTACAACTTTGCAAAATTAAATACAGTAAGTACCTCAGTTCTCGAACTCATTAGAACTCAAACTTCTTAAATCGAACCGACCTGTTCGAAATAAAATTACCTTGAGCTCGATCTGAATCTCAGAAGTCAAACCATAAACGCCGACCTAAGATAACTTGTACATGCGTGGAAATGAGTTACGCTGCACGTCTCTCAGCGGAAACAAAGGGTAACAAAATATTTGGGGCTTAAAAGCATGTGCAAGCTGGGGAGAATCACAAAGCATTAGCAGGCAGGGGCTGCAAGACTGCAAATGTGAAGGTTCCATCAGAAGAGAGCGGTGGGATTGGCCCTGAAGACGGCCTCTGCAGCCACTCCACGGCGCTCTTTCTCCCTATTGCGCTCCACGTGCAGCAGGTACAGAAGAACAGCGGTGATGATCGTCACCACCAGCGTTATGCCCAGGACAATCACTTGCATGTAGTCCATGAGCCTCTGTGGAAAAGGCCAGCTCACATATGTCACAGCTCAAATTCCAGTACAAGCATGCATGACTGTGAAACGCATGTGAACGTTTGCACTACTGATTACAAAAGAGTGATGGATTTTTTAAATTTATATTACTGAAACAGACTCAATCTCAGTTGTTACTCTTGCATGAGTTATGTTCATATTTTAGTTGCTCTTATGAATTCACACGGTAATAAAGTAGTATTATTCTGTCTGTTAATGTTACACTGGTGGCTGCTCAATGAGTACCATTACCTCACATTCCATCAAGGGCATGAGCGCCGTGCTGTTTGCATAATCTTCCAGTGGCCAACAGGGAACCACCCCCTGCAGTCCAAACACACATAGTGAGGGCCCTGTGATGAACTGGCATCCTATCCAGTTTGTACCCCAGCCATGTCCCATGTGCCTTGTCGTCCCCCCCCCCCCATTGACCCTGAACAGGATAAGTAAATGAAAAGAGGGGCTATTCTGTTCACTTTGAGATATTTTCAGGGTTTCGCTAAAGTTGCCGTGAAGTTCTGTTTTCTTTTTTTTTTTAATTTGGGCATTTGTGTCTTTCTTTGTGATCTGATAAATGGGAGTAAATGTAAGTTTGAAAATTACCTGTCTTAAATAACTGAAGTAAATATCAATGGACAACAGTATCATGCCAATCCCAGCAACCAGGAAACTGCCAATATTAACAACATAGGAGACCTGGGAGAAACGACCAAAAAATCCATTATTCTTGCTAAGTACATACAAGTGTGCACCTCCAGAAATCAAATACCATCAGTTATACTTCCAGTGGTTTTTTTAACATTTGATTCTAGTTTCACAATTTGCTTGAAAATATACAGTATGACCTGCTTTCACATTGAAGTACCATTAATGACCATGATGAATTGCACCAAACACCAAATGAAAGCGGTTTGCATTATGCAGAGCTAAATGTACAACGTTTGCATGTATCAAAACTATGTTACAGTGGATAAAAATTAGAGAAGTTACATTTTTGTAGTTTACAAAGTCACAGCTTATCTGAATTCCAAGTTATTCTAACATGAATAGAAGGCATGTGTTTTAATCATATTTCATCAGTGAAAACTATCACACATCACAAAATAAAAGGTTAAACAAGAAATTTGTAGAAGGTCTGCAATAACAATTACAGTTGCTATACTTGAGTTTTTGGTTATAATCTGAAATATCTTTGTATATCTGGCAACCCCAGTCTATTTGGCAACATTGTTTGGCATTTTGCAAGATGGTGGGCCTCTCCAAGGTGACGAAACCCTGTGAACACCAGGTTGTTCAGGTGAAGGCCGAGGGGATAACTATAAATCATTGGAGGAGAAGTTATTCGTTCCAAGAGCGAAATATCTCAAACACTGAAGCTGTACAAAAAAAGTTTAATGTAAGTGCCATAAAAGGCAGGTCACCCACGTAAGATGATTGTGCAGTAGAACAGGATGATAGGGAGACTCTCAGTAGGGGATCAGTTCAACACCGCAGATGGAATTGCTCACCAAATCAGTCCTGAACAGGGTAAGAATTTACTTTGACAGGGTCTCGTCGTCTGAGACAATATGGACTGAAAGCCCTCGGCAGTGACCAAGAAGAATAAGAAGGCCAGACTAATGTTTTGATGAGGAGCATGTTGTGTGGACAGAGCAGAACTGTTAATTTCAGTGATGAAAGCAAGTTTAACTTTACTGGTTCAGATGGGAAACATCATGTGCGGGATTAAATTGGGGAGAGACTCCACCAAAAGTGTGTGAAGAACTCTGTAAAGTTCAGAAGAGTAAGAGTTATGGTGTGGGGTATGTTCTCTGCTGCAGGAGTCCGGCCTCTCACACGGTTACATGGCAAGGCGAATGATGGGTATCATATGGCTTCATGGCAAGGCGAATGATGGGTATCATATGGCTTCATGGCAAGGTGAATGATGGGTATCATATGGTTACATGGCAAGGTGAATGATGGGTATCATATGGCTTCATGGTAAGGTGAATGATGGGTATCATATGGTTACATGGCAAGGTGAATGATGGGTATCATATGGCTTCATGGTAAGGTGAATGATGGGTATCAGAACCTCCATCAGCAACATGCGGTTCCTTCAGAGAGCATCACCCAATCAGCCAATCAATTTTTATGCAAGACAGTGCCCCATGTCACACTACAAAATGGGTGAAGCAGTTCCTCAAAGCTGAGAAGTTCGAGGTGATGACATGGCCAGCCCTGAGTCCTGATCTGAACCCTATCGAGTGTTGGGCAGTGTCCACTGGAAACAATGGTGAGTGCTGGTGGTAAACTAGGTTTACTGTATAATGGGGCCAGGAAGGAGTTCAGAGCCCTAACAGCTTCAGGGAAGAAGCTACTGTAGAACCTGGAGGAGGACGCTTAGATGCTCCTGTGCCTTCTGCCAGATGGGAGGGGTATAGAGTGAAGGATGGGAGGGGTAGAGAGAGAGTGTGAAGGATGGGAGGGGTAGAGAGAGAGTGTGAAGGATGGGAGGGGTACAGAGAGAGTGTGAAGGATGGGAGGGGTAGAGAGAGAGTGTGAAGGATGGGAGGGGTACAGAGAGAGTGTGAAGGATGGGAGGGGTCTTCTACAGGGCTGGAGGACGACGTCCTCAATGGGACAGTTTTCACTGATGATGTATGATTAATATACATCTGTGCTGTTAATATTAGAATAACTTTGCATTCAGATAAGCAGTAACTTTGTGAATTACACAAAAATGTAACTATTATTTGAGGAATCCTTGGTAATTATTTGTCGTCTCTTGCTTTGCTTTTGTGCGTTAAAATTTATATAAGTAATATATTTAATTTATAGTAGGATTGTGCACAGGAGCCCTTTACACTTGAATTCTGAAACCAGCATACCTGCCAACACGTCGGATTTCCCCGAGTGTCTCCTAATTACCCAACCCTCCTCCCACTGAAATCCCCATTGTTTCCGATAAACAGATTTTTATTATCCTGACAAATGCCGTTTACAAAATTTAAATAACAAATACAGGCCTACTCACCAGTAGGAATGCAGGGAATTTGTACAGCAGGAAAGACAATAATCCAGAAAAGAAAAACTGGGGGTGGAAAAAACAGGTTAATCAACTGCTGAGAAATGTCTCAATGGGACGGTACAGCTGATGTGGAACGTGCTTATGTTTTTAGTTACATTCTACACAAGTACAGTACTGTGCAAAAGTCTTAGGCAGGCAAAGAAAATGACGTTTAGATTATTCTTGTGTTGGTGTGAAACTATATCATGCCTGTCAAAGTGTGTCAGCTTAGCCATTTCAGAACCTCTGTTAAAATCACCCCAGTATTTGCAGTGACCGTCCAGTGAAGCCATGTATTTTTTGACTTGGCCACTAGCACACCCCATACAGCTAATCAATCTGTCACTGACTTTTTAAACCAATTTCTTTAACTATTTAATTGAGCTGTTGGTGAAATTTAACAAAATCATGGAATGGCTGAGGTGCCCCTGAGGAGAGGTTTGGGAACTGAAGTGGTGTTCATGTAGCCATCCAACTAGATATCAGTAACTTTTTAGAAAACAGAAGAAATTATTACTAGTTTTATTGTGTTACTCTTAATTTGCACATGTTCTAATGATAAATTGTGTTTTTGTTCTAAGCCAAAGTACACTTGCTACCCAGATAAAGCTTTAAACATTTCTTTGGAATGCCTAAGAGTTTTGCACAGTACTGTATATATTTTGATATTTGAGATCATGTGCACGATATACTGAATTTCGCATACCATTTAGGTTAACGTGTTCATAAATACTAAATGAAGCTCACGAAATCCCTAAATTGTGTGCATGATGTACTCTTATTTGTGCTCTCAATTTGCTATTTTGAGCTCTCGAATTGTGCTCTTGTCTTGCCCATTTTTATCTGCAAAACCAGGAGCTGGAAAACTGAAACTGCATTCAAACCATCCTTTCATAGTTTTTAAAGTTTGTGAATACTGGTTGTAAATAAATTGTTACTGGTTTAAAAAATGGGCAAATAAAAAAACAAACTACCTGGGGTGGGTTTCCCGAAAGATTAGTAAGTTTTTTGTTATCTTGCACTTAAGATCAGTCGTTAATTAGTGAGTGTTTCTCAAATCCCTTTGTAACTAAGGTAGTTCCTAATATTCTTCTTAGATTTACGAGCGCCCCAAGCCACTCGTCCCACTGCTACTGTATCTTCTTTAGTTGAACTTTTGCCAGCTGTCGTGTCACAGAGACACAGAGATCGCCCAATATAGATAATAAAAACACATTGGAGCTCCTTTCTAGACAACGTGATAGTTATGTTAATGATGATAGTGGGGTATCGCAGGGTTAAATTTTAGGACCATTGTTCCTAATTTACATCAATGATATTGACACCAATACATACAATGAACTGTCAAATTTGCAGACGATACCAAGGTGGGTGGTGTAGCAAATACTGAACTAGCAACACAGAGGCTACAACGGGATCTGGATTTATACACGCTCAGAGAGAAACAGGAGGGAAGGAGACGTGTGCGACAAAATGAGTGACCACGGGAAATGGAGTAAAATTTGGACAAGTGAGTGAACCGGCTACTAATGAAAGTGACAGTTTGTCAATGTCTACACCGTCATCCAGTACAGCACCACAACCATCTAGACCTACAACCCAGAGCTCTATGAGACAGTTTGTCAATGTCTACACCGTCATCTAGTACAGCACCACAACCACCTAGACCTACAACCCAGAGCTCTATGAGATAGTTTGTCAATGTCTACACCGTCATCTAGTACAGCACCACAACCACCTAGACCTACAACCCAGAGCTCTATGAGATAGTTTGTCAATGTCTACACCGTCATCTAGTACAGCACCA